ACCCCTAATGAGACAGAAAGAGTCACACAAACAGGAGCAGGAAGACTTTGAGGTTCTGGGTCATACACAAGACGAAAGCATTGCGGACTACTTTTCTCCTTATTGGCTGGAGGTTAAAGGTGTAAAAAGAGAAAGAGAAGATTTTCCAGTTGAGCTAGAACATCAGTAGCTTTCCTAAACTATCATTCCAGTGTTAGGTGCTGTCTTGTTGCAGAAAGACATCATGTTAAAAATTTTCATTTTCTGTTAAGTAAGAATGGCCTGCACATCAGGCTTTCTGATTTATCCAGCTACTCAGAATTACCTTTGAGGACTCAGCCATTTATTACAGAGCTCCTTCAGCCTTTCTGTTACCTCTACATGACAGTGAAAAACACTTGTCTCAGAAACATCCCTCCTGTGCACATCCTGTGCTCTGGGCAGCTGAAGTGTAACTCTGCCTGACCCTTAGTAAACAGGATCCTTCAGTACTAGTATCACTTTATTTTGACAATGCTGGATAAAACTGAAGTTTGAGGCTTTAAAATGTGTCCACCAAAAGAAAGGATGCTCTGTATGTGACATGGGGTTGTGGTTAGACACGTCAGCCTTTTCCTGCCTCTAGAACTGTTAGAATGGTACTGAATTCAACTCAAGGAGAAATTTCAAGAGAAACATTTTGCATTCCAGTTTAACACTCAAGCTGTCCAGCTGGAGAATAATCTACAAATTAACAGCAGGATACATATGACCAACAGTCACACTAGTACTCTGAGGACAGCATTTGTCATTTATATCTATTACAAGTTAAGAACACATTAATCTTTTATTATTTAGCATAAAGGATTGCATTTTTCCTACCTTTCTAGTCCTCCAAATCTGTACAGTTGCATCAGAAACAAAAGGTAAGTCAAACTTTGCAAGAAGATTGAAAACATTGAACAAAACCCCTCGGCTCAATTTGTTTTCCTTGCAACGCACAACCTGAGAAGGACCAAATACACAACTTCGACCCTTTGAAACAAGACTAGGATAAAGGTTAGCATAGTGAGGGATGTCAAAGAAACATCAGTGCTATAGGAGAAAAATCCTTGTAAATAGGTTCCTGAATGCATTATGATAAGACAAAACTCAAACCACTCACAACACAGAAACTAACAAACATTTAGTGGAGAAACAATTCTGGTCAGCAAATGAGTCAGCAAATTTTCACTTTCAAAGGGGGAAAAATGCTTAAGCATAAACTATGGACAAGGCAATCCCCTCTTTCTCCTCTGCCTTTTCCATTTGCTCTCATATTTTCTCTAGGAGGTTAAGATCTTATGCATTAAAAATTTGTTGAAGATAATAAAAATATAGAACTAGCTCCATTGGTCAGTATACTGTGCTCAGCCAGAGTACAAACTGTTTAAAGGAGACTTCTTCTGAAGGTGGCTGCATTATTAGTTCTCTGGATTCAGATAAAAAGGGATGTGAGAATACAGTTGAGTTACTCTTGAAGCAAGTCCTGTATTTTGTAGGAAAGGTATGTATCTAGTTTTGAATGCTGGACCTGTCTAGCAATCTGAATACTCTGATCACAGAAACTTAGACTTACTTGAAATATAGAAAGGACTGATACGAAGAAAGACCTCTAAGACCTGGAGTTCCAGAAAGAGAATTTTCTATAGGATTCTTCCCTTCCTTGGTCTATTTATTTGTGTTATCTGACCTTTCTTTAAAAAATAGACTGCAGCAGCAGCAACTTCAGAGCTTAACTCTTCTGACCTCCTACCCCTGTGTGTATTAGATCCTGCTGTAGCATAGGAAAAAATCCTTCACAATCAAGTAAAATTTCCTATAGAAAGTTCTACTAGAAATGAAGTTTTTCTGGCAGGATAATTGCTGCTGCTTCACAGCTACATTTCAACAAAGGAATAGAAACCACAGAGAAAAACATCAAATTACTTAGTGCCTTAATGAGATACAGAGAGTAAAACCAATTTGGGACAGACATACTCCCTAGAACAGGAGCTTTCCCTGTCCCTTTTCTCTGCAACTCTAACACCCCCAACCCCTTCCCCCGCTAGAACAGGAGCTTTCCCTGTCCCTTTCCTCTGCAACTCTAACACCCCCAATCCCTTCCCCCAAGCAATGAAGATGCCTAGCACAAAGACAGAAGCACAGCAGCCCACTGGCAACCACACCATGCACGCTACTCACTCCTACCACTGCCAGGTGCACTTTTGTGAATGAACCTGCTCCCTTCCTTGAGCTGGTTCAATAGGAGTGTTGTACACACATAACTAATGGCTGTCACAGTGGCAAAGGTATGGAGTGGGAGTTTGATAGGGACTGCTGCTTGATTCAATACTAGTCAGCTTTTTAACTGACTTAGGAGTATACAAATAAAAAGCAGAGAAATGGTGTGGGTAGACTGTGAGTGCTCTGGAGAATAACAAAATCCTCCAGGATTATTGCAAGATGTAGTATTAAAGAATAGCAAACCCCCTATAAGATTAATCTGAGCACCACATACTAAATCTAAAATAAAGGGGAAAAAACCTCCATTGTAAATCAGTGACTGAACTATTAAGACAATCACCTAGAACAGAAAAGACTAATGCTACTGGCTGTACTTCTTATAATTAGTTCACTCTGCTGCAATTCCAGTTAGAATATTCCTCTGGGCACTGGGCACAGCACAGAACTCCACTGTCAACGTCTTATAAATGAAATAACTGAAACCTGTTTATTCTGTAATAAAATTGCAGGAGTGAAAACAGAAATGAGTGGAAAATAGTGCTAGAAGAGAAGCAAGTGCACCAGAAAATATTCAGTGTGGGACTGAGAATCCATCTCGATTTATATGTTCAAGGCCACCAAGGGTCATACACCTCAAATTCTGCATGTCCCCTAGAGGGGTAACCATTAATTTACCAGTAACATAAGCAAAGTGATACCACACAGCAGCTGTAACAAATTTGCTTTTTCCAGCTCAGTTCAATTAAAAATCAAGCCCCCCCTAAACAAAAACACCTATTTACATGATAGTAAATATTTTGGCCTAGCAAAATATCATATAAAACCTTGAAGTCTCCATTCCTTTGCCCTCTCATGACTAAACTGTAAAGTATATTAATGCTTTTTTTGTGTCTAGATTTGCAGATTTACCTGCTGTACTTTAGGAGTCCCTAGCATGTGTGATCCAAGCACCTTCTCAAGATTTTGAAAACATTTATACCTGTAAACCTAATACTCTTTTAATAGACAAGACTAAATCTTTTCAAATATGGAAGTGACACCTGACACAAAAATTCATGTATTTTTCAATAACGTGTCAAAACTTTATTGAGTTCGCTCAACATCTGAGGATTCATGTAGGACATAAAAAAGAAAGATTAGTTCCTTTTTTATTTTAACCTTCAACAGGAGTACAGTAAGTTTTCTGGTGTCTGTTACAGCATTCCCATTCATTTTCATGCAGACAAATTTTTGGTACAAATAGGACTCAGACCAAAAACTGAGTAACTGCAGGAAATCACCGAGGTAAGAAATGTCTCTTTCTAACAGGACTTTTTATCCTTCTACTACACAAGGCATTAAATGTTTTGCTTTTTTCTACAACAGAAAGAAGAAGACAGGTGTTTTGTCCATAGTTTTATTTCACCAGGAATACAGTTCTGCATAAAGGTCACTGTATGCACAGCCTGAAGTACAAAGCTCCCTTTGAAAACTCCAGCACAAAGACACTGCATATTGACAACATTAAACAACGATGTGGGTGGTATAGGGCAGAAAAAAAAATTAAAGTTAAAACAAAACAGCATTCTTCCTATTGGAAAAGCAGAATAAAACAAGGCACTTTGAGTAAATAAGTGAAGAAAGAAACAAGCTGTATCAAAGATTCCACAGCACTGACCCAAAGCACTGTAACAAAATTCTGCAGTAATGAACAAGTAAAATACAAAAAAGGCACTACATAATCCTCTCCCTGCAACTCCCCTTTCTCAACCAATTAGCCAACTGAACTTGGCACAATGGAGTCTTAATTATAAAGTGCATCTCTTGTCTCAATACATTTTGAAAAACAGGCTATACAACATAGGTACCAACATCCCCATGTGTACAATATATTGAAACAAAAATACATTGCAACTAGATTCAATCTAGTTATGAACTGTGCAGGAAATATATGGCTTCTTTTCAAGTCTTTCAATAACCTCCATATAATCTGGAATATTTTTAAACAAACATGAATGCATTAGTAAGGTGGTAAGAGGTAGTGTTCCGAGTAAAAGGCAAACTGACCGATTTTATTGTGACATGGGTGTACACCAAAGTTATGCCAGATTTTCAAAGCAGCGTTACCGAACAAAAAGGTATGACAGCATGCTATCTTGGGATGAAAACACAGTGTTTTGGGGGTCTCATATTAGTTCCTTCAGCAAAAATGACCATTTTTAAAATGTCCAGCTATGATCCCATCGTGTAAGTACTTTTCTCTTGGTACTGGAAGTTTCCTATTGCATTGCATTAAAATTTCCAGAGAAACATTCTTCAGCTTTAGAATTTAAAACCAACACATTCCTCACTCTTAAACATAGATGAGTCCATTTTTACTTCAACAAGCATTGATTTATGGCTATAAGAATATGAAAATACAAATACCAAATGGATGAACACATCAAATGTGTCACAATAGTGGCAACATAAGACATGCGAGTTAGACGTGTTGTGATTCAACGTGGAACTTTCGTCATTCCGCTAGGAAAGTCAGCCAAATTGTGTATGTACACCATCTAAACTTCAGCTGGTTTTAGCCCTTATTAGACTTTCATATATTAAATATATAAAGGCTAGATAAAAACTGAAATCAAAGCAGCACTGGGTATATTTCTTACATTAATAATTTGTAAGGATTT